ATTAGCGTCATGTCCATATCAAGCAAAGTAATGGCTGCTGCCATATTAACGCTGAGCCCACTGCATTTCAGGTTGGATTCTTTAAGCTGGTTCGGGACTCTTTGTGTGATTTTTTTTAGTAATGAAATGTTGAATTTTGACACTTTCCTGCGGAGCACTATTCATGTGCTACAGAGTGACTGAAACATGAATACATCATGGCTACTCAGCTGCAACATTTGAGTCCATCTTAACCAAGTCAGTTTTGTCAGAAGACATTTTATTAAAATCAATCTCATATTTTCGATTACTGCAGAAGATTTTAGAGCCACATTGTATTTGTATGATGCATTTTCAGTTCAGTGTGTTACAAGATAATTTTTGATTTTTAAGAACTTTTGAAATGATCTAAGTGATTTCCTGTTCATATATAGTTTGCTCATTTGTAATTGGGTTAGTACATGCATTTCTGTGGAAACACGGTGTTAGTGGATTATTACAGGAAACATCATCTGTAGAACCCTTAAGAAATAGTTTTCACATCTTTCACCCGTATCAACACATTTGTGACACCACCAGCAAACATCAGCTTAGTGCCTAAAAGAAATTAATTTATAAGCTTCTGATTTGTTTGTCCTCACTTCACATGTGTTATAATCCTCAGAATCCAGCAGCAGGCAGAGTTTGGGTAACAGCTCCGGCCAGTTTTGTAGTTCTCCCTTGGAGGCAATTGTAGTGATGAGGATGCCTGTTGTCAGAGTGGGTTGAGTTAGTTGATTAAACCAAAATCATGCACAGGATATAATGAAACAGACATTTAATATTATAAAGCGCTTCTGTTTATAATCCATGTGAATAGAAGCAACAGAAATGCAGCACATAAATAGCTTCAAGTTAGCTTAAACAGCAGGATGACCCCTAATTATGCAAATGTTAATATCAAGATTCTGCAATAATAGCAGGGAATGCTTGGGAGACCAAACCAGCATTTAAAAGCTGGCCTTTAACATTCTGATACAGTAGCCTATTGAGTTAAGGAAGACTATTTAGAGGCATTTAAAGCCAGTGTAGGGCTTTGCTCTCACTGGATTAAAAAGAAATAGATTAAAAAGAAATTCACAGTAGCCTTCAATCATACTGTAACTGACAAGGTCTGAGAGATAACTGCACCGCCTCTAAGCTCTGTTTTCAGGCTTCACAATCTTGAGCCAGTTACAGGTCCGTTAGGCCAGATTAGCCAAGCAGCGGTGAAAACCTGAGAGAGCAAACTTTGAGTGCCTGAAGTCAAAAGTCAGCAATAGCACGCTTTTGACAGCAAGTCTATGTGTCCACGCTAATCTGGTGGGAGGGGTTAAGAATGGAGAGAGGAGAACTGCAGGAGTAGGGCTGTTTATTTCTAATGGTTTTTTCATAGATTTCTGCCCACTGGATAAATAAAGAAATATAAACAACACAGAAAAGCAGACTCATTTTCTACTAAAAACATAACCATATCCCTAAAAATAAGAAAATAAATGAGCTACTATCCCAAACCCCTTTCATCGGTTTAATTAGTGTAAATAATATACAACCATCACAACCAATAATAAGGTGTTGTGTAAATATTCATTGTCATTTATTTCCCTGCTTTGTCTGCAAATGCTGATTATGTTCCCAATATAGTGAGCTGTAGGTTTTATATTTCAGCATGTAGTTTAAACAAATAAGGAAGTTATTTACAGGAACAACAAAGCAACGTACATAACAACAGAAAACATTTAAACATAAAAAGGTATGCATGGATGCTAAGGACAACATTACAATCAGAAGACAGCGAGGATGAGACTTACCAACAGTGGCCCGAATCAGAGGAGATGAGTCTCCGATGTTTTGGAGGCACTCACTCTTGATGAAATCAGACACGCCATTAGGGAAGTTCTGATAGTGAGCTTTCACATTGTTCTTCAGTATCAGCCCGCTCAAGGATCGGGTCGGTTCATCTTGGGAGAGAAAAGGCCAAGGAAGGAAATGTGAAAATTCCACTCTAGCTGTGATCAAAATGAAGGCTGGTGACTCAGACATTAAATTGCTTTCCTTTCATTTTTCACAAGCAGAGTTTTACAGAAATTATGTTCAGACATTTATACTAACATTGTGGACAGAAACTATTTTACTGTTTGCTTAAAATGGGTAAGTAATAAATTCGGTTATTTTTTTTGTTTAAACACTTGTGGCTTGTTGCATCTGAGCTAAGGTCGTCATGCAACCGAAAAGGTCTTAACACCACTTAACATTTGGGTCATCTGCTGTGCAGACAGTCAAGCCAAAAGTTGAGCAGTGCCAGGATTTAGCTTTAAAATTAGAGTGGCCCATATTCTGTGTGGCACATCATTTGCAACAAAGATGCCATCAGGTCACCCAAGTCACGGCCGGGCTGACCTGTCAATAAGCAGTTACATAAAAACCACAGCTCTGACATTCACCCGTGCTGCCCAGGTGCTATTAGACGATCTAGGAACACACCACAGACACAAAATGACAGAGCGAAGGAGAAGGGCGGACAGCTTACCTTCTGATTTCAACTTTGTCAAAACAAATATCAAATAGTTGTTAAAGTCTGGATACTGATTCAGCTGCTCAAGTCTCTGGGAGAAATGGTTAAGGGTTACAAATGTACGAAGAGCATGTTAAAAGGCTGAAAGAACATCACTGCATTCTGTAATCTGATAACAACAATAAAGCCAAAAAGAGTTTTTTTTCCTCCTCCCCATATAAAGAGGAGGAGTGGTCTAATCTAACAGCATAATGATGGGAGCGTATGTCAGTGTGTGTGAGTGGACTGGATGTATGCTTGTAAGGGGGTCATAAATGTGTCATTTGGCATGACTGTACTGGCAGATGGCATCTTTAGGGCTATAACAGCAGCTAGTCTATGAGTTAATGAGACAGTCCGTATGAAGGGTTACATAAGAAATTTATTAAGGACCTGCATGAAACCAGACAAAAACGTAAGGACCAGCAGCTCTGAGCAGCAGATGATTGCTCTTCAACTGCATTGTCACACAACACTAGCACAGTGTTGTGTGACAATGCAGTGCCCAAGCTACAGAGTAAAGCTAATAAAGCACTTACATGTTAAACCTACCCTTTAGTGCTTGCCATTTAATCTAGCCGGAAGAGGTCACCTTAATACGGTTTTGTTTGATAATCCCTGGCACCCTTTGGAAAAGTGACATAGAGTAAAGTGTCACAGCGAAAATGCTTGAATAATGATGGCTTCTTATTCCACTCCATTAAGTCCTGTTTTAGAACAGGAGATTTCAGATTCTGTTGCACTAGTAAAATCCAGCAATTTCGTGCATTGCATACACTTCTGTGCATGCAAGGCACGGACAGATGTCTTTTTTTTTGTTTGGGGGGGGGGGGGTGTTCTGTCACAATTAACACAATCACCATTACATCATTATATTATGCACAGAATTTCTAATTCGAATGTTAACTTAAATTAGTAACATAGCATGTTTCCGGTAAGCTTAGCTTTAATTGAGGATTAAGTTGCAGATGATATACCGGGGCTTTAGACATGTTTTATTATGATGTTCTGCCGAAGCAATATGCAAGGTAAAGGTGTACAGGAGGAGCAATTAGAAGCTACCGTTGCTTATTGTATTAACCAAGCAAGACAATTTATAGCATTTTTAATGTCAAATGATGTTAGCACGACCTGCTCCGTTTGTAGCGCGTGCAAGCGAGACAAAAAAAGGCACGAGCGTACCTGCTTGTAACTGTAACCACCCAGGCTAGTATTAGCTATCGTTAGCCTGTTGAGTCTGTTTTGTTATTAAATCACTAACAGATTATATCATCCATATCTGGCTCAAAAAGGATACTTGCTGGACGGATCTCTGTGTGGACGTATCAGGCGACTGAGACTCCTTCAGCAGCTGTAAAATTTGTTGAAGTCCTTGCTCGTCTGGTTTCCACTCACACTCCATCTTGCTGCTGCGGATAAAGAAATAACATAAGCTCAGACAGAGGACTTGTCATCGTACGCCTCACTAATGCTGCTCCCTACGAGGCGGAGTGATTTTGGATAGGGAAAAAAGGCTTTTACCTGTTCTGGCTTTGCCGTGCTGTGCAGTCGACTTTCTGCTGAAATGTGAACGTCTGTTTGGGTTTTCAGACATGGGCCTTACACGGCGAGTCGACCCGTTTTCTCCCAACCCAAGCTGAAAAAAACCTTCGGGCTACGGTCTGGCGTCGCATATAACTGGCTACATAGTCAGCTGACACGGAGCTGGAGGGTCCTAGTGCGCCACAAGTTTTTTTTAAGCCTAAATAGTCTAACTAAAGATGCTTTTTTTACAGGAGGAAGATAACTAGAAGGACCAAACATGTTTACATATATCTATTTAGTCTTATCATTAAAGACAATACGAGGTTGCCCTTTGTTCAGAGAAGGTAAAGAGACGCTGTAAGAGGGGAAACTATACTGAAAAATCTGGGAAATGCCGACGCTTTTCCTAGATTTCCAACGGACATGAAGGCAGCACAGATCGTGACACTGGCTATGAAATTTCCATTTTATATTTCAAGAAAACAGCTCCATCTTCAGGCTATATTTTTTATCGAACAAATTCAACAGCATTTACCCTGTAATTTTAACTTAGCTAGCAGCATCAGTTATAATAATTTTTGAATCACAGTTAAATAAAAAAACAAACAAAGACATGTCTGTGAAGGTTCTCAGTCATCCAAACAAAGACATGTCTGTGAAGGTTCTCAGTCATCCAAACAAAGACATGTAGCCTAGGCCGTTATAAATATCAGTGAATTAATAATTAATGAAGAAAACATAAAAAACATAAATACTGAAGCATACGCCAGTTTCGTAAAATATATTACTTTATTCTTCAATATAATATATAGAAAGTAGCCTACATGTTTGCTTAAAATGTTCCTATTCAAAGGAAAGAACAGTAGTTCTGAACCATTTGTTCCACTAGATGGCAGCACACAGTAGAACTGCGTCTTCTCTGCCTTCAAGGTTAGATGAAGAAGTGAGTATTGCAGTCAGTGCGCTGCTGCCTCCCAGCGTACAGCAGCTAGTAGATTGGTCTGTCTTTAAAATACATCTGTTTCCCCCCTTTTTTAAAACTAGTGGGTAGTTATTTCTGTTAATATTTATATTTTTTCGGATGTTTAACAAGGACCACACGACTAAGCCCGAGAAGAACCGAGGAAGTGTGAGGCTTTAGAGTTTTTGGCAATCCTTTTGGGCTGCCTTTACTCTGCTTTTATTATCGGCTGTTTTCCAAGAAGGGATTTTTTTCGGCGACCCGAGGAAACATGAGCTTTCTTTTGTGAGTTACAATCTTTCGATACACGCTTATTTTGTCTCGTCACTTAGCTTCGTGTTTGGGAAATGCCAGCTTTGCTGCAACAGCTAGAAAGTTAGCTAGCCGTAGCGTTTCAAGGGCTTAGACTATTTCCTGGACGTACCTCGGACTGCTACTGATTCGCCTTATTTTCTGTAGCTTTCACTACACTTTCAAATTGTAATCAATACTAATCGCATATTCATCGGTACTTTAAGGCTAGTGGTTACAGTTGACCAAAAGAGAAATTTCACCTACTTAGAACAGGTCCACTGATAAAAATTGCCTCGGGAGAGATGGAGGGTTTTGATTGTGACTTGGATATTTGCTGGTGTAAACACTTTGATGCCACCGGCTAATCTAACACAGCACTGCTACCGCTAAACGCAGCAAAGTAACACCACAGTATGTCGTCGATATTTAGCCAGCTATTAAAATAATGTCTGTTTGAGGTAAGCTGAGAAACGTCAGACACACCTACTCTGATAGTTTGTAGTTAGATTGAAGAAGATGAGGTCTAGATTTACTATTGTTGTTGTCATCTTAATTTTTGTGTACTTGGTATATATGGGGAGGCTCGAAGGAAATGGCTAATGAAGAACAACAGTATCCTGATAATGGCACATACTTATTTTGAATTACAGAAATGCTACAGGATATTTTGGGTCGGATCTTGCCATTAGAGGATGCTCTAATTAAACATTTCTTTTGTGTGTCCAACCCATGCTGTGAGGACTCACAAATTCTTGTTTAATGGGGCAGTGAGATCAACTGAATACAGTACCTCTACAAATAGCCTCATTATACAGAGAGGGGCCACACTGTTCACACACACCCACTTACATTCTGCTAAACTCAAACGAGCTTAAGCTCCCTTTGACATCTTTTTAAGAAAGTCACAACTTTTTTTTGAAAGGTCACCTCACATTAGTGTTCGGGGACCTCATGATTTCTTATCATATCTTTCTGTCTTTTTGTTTATTCTACCTTTTGTCTTCCGGTTTTATGTGTGACTCACACAGTGGAAATCGTTCATCCAAAACATTCAAGCCCAAGAAGAACATCCCGGAGGGTTCTCATCAGTATGAGCTGCTGAAACATGCAGAGGCTACTCTGGGGAGTGGAAACCTGCGCATGGCAGTCATGTTGCCTGAGGGTGAAGACTTAAATGAGTGGGTCGCAGTCAACAGTAAGCACTGAGTTTTATTTATTTTTCTTCTCTCTTGATACACCCTTTTATTTTAGGTTTAGATTCCTGGCTAAAGGGGCTCAGCACACTTCTGAAAAACATTTAATATCTTCAAGTCTTGTTCCTGACTCTTAATTAGTCCAAATCATGAGTCAGTTGCGAGCGAACTATCAAGCTGTAAGATCTTGGCATTGCTTCCAAAGACCATGTGCATTCATGCCAGAGCAGCCACCGTGAATGTTAAATAGACTTTATTGTCTGTGCTGTGAGCGCCTTGTTTACTTTCCTCTAAAAGGAGACAAATGGTCAGTGGATGCTTAAATCCTCATGCGTCAAAAAGCCTTCAGGGTTGGAGACAATCACGAGCCCAGCCTTTTAACACGTGATTGTCTGTCAGATGCTTTGTTAAGAAAAATTTTTAGGCGTGCCCAATTTCTAGCTTTGTTAACTGCAGCTCTGAATTGCTGCCGCCACCGCTGCTGCACTCCTAATATTTGTGCTCTCCAGATTCACAGAGGGGTAGAAGCAAGGTTGGCTAGTATTGCACAGGCTGTTGCAGCTTGCACAATGAGTGAAGTCAGAATAAAAGTGCTGTGAGCAATAACTTCTCCCACCACCAAGCACAAATGACTTTTCACATGATCTGTGTTCACGAGAAGCCGTCCACTTCATGTTTTTAAGATTGTTTTGCATGTACTGGATAGCAACACAGTCCTGTGGCGGCTGTTCAACCCCAGATGGATGGATGAATGGATGGATAGTGACAGTAGAAGGAGAAGTTACTGGCATGCAGTAAAAGGTCTCCAGGTACAATTGAACATGGGGAAATAATCTGACCAGTATCTTAACCAATTGCCTAGCTGGATACCCATCTGTTCCCTTTAGGAACTATTTCATAGTAACTGTTGGAGGTAGTACCCTCTCTTCTCCAGTGTCTTCACTTAGAAATGCGTTATTGTGATCCTTTTGAGACCTTTTCCAAACATAAGAGGAACAGTGAGTAACACAGTCGACAGAAAAGCGCTAATGTTGGTCAAACATTGGCTACAGCAACTCTTAACATTAGCCCTGAAAGTGGAACCATGCATGGCGAAATGAGTTGACAGTGAAGTCGTGTCTTTGAGTCTTTGAGCGGGACAAGGAAATGCAATGCAGTTTTGCCTCGCCCAAGCATTACATTGAAATCTTTGCTAGGATTTCCCCCTCAAATTGCTGTTGGGAATGCGTGACACAGTGACGCAATGCGGGGTGAAAATAAAGAGGCTGAAGCAAGATTACAGGAAAATAAAGGACCACAGGAAGAGATAGCGTTTTATCACTGACTGTTACATCATTTTAGGGTTCTTATTAGCTTTATGAATGAAAACAGAAAAAAGGTTTGAGGTTCATCTGTTAGAGCTTAGCATCAGGTATTCCCCAGATGGATTTTGGCTCCTGAATTTTTAGTCCATTTTATATCATTAAGATAATTCTGCTTTCTCTCACTGGTATAGGGCTGGATCATATCATATCGTTCACGGTAATACCTGTATAATGTTGGGCAACGATAAGAGAATGAAATATCATGATAGAATATGGGTAAAATGCGCATGCGCAGTGCCTTTGTTTTCATATGTACATGGCGGAAAAAGCATGGCTGCGATGGAGAATGAGGAGGGCGAAAGCGGATCGTTGAATGAAACGGATGAACCAGAATTGGTTTGTAAAAATGCTGCAACTTCAGTGGTGTTGAACTGGTTTAGTTTTCGTCCGTTCAATAAACAACAAAGCACTATTTTTGGTAGAGCATGCTAGCGGGCCGTCGTTATTAACGTGTTTTTTGGAAAATACGGCACACTTAAAATCAATCCTTTGATTTTTCTGAAAATCAACAATGCCCCTTATAATCCCGTGTGCCTTATGTATGAATTCTGGTTGTGTTTACTGACCTGGAAAAGATTTTATGTGGTACACGGCACTCGTAAATCTGTCAGATGTTTTAGTACGACTTTGCTAAGCTACAAACCTGCACCGCTTGATGGATTGTCGGGGCATGGTCATATCGCCCTGCTCTACGCTGGAATATTCACTTCTAGGCTGTAATCACATCAGTATGTCTGGTGGCATAAACAGGAATTTGGACTATTGGCTTTGTACAGCAGCATACAAAAATATTCTGTCAACTATGATTGGACAGTTTTTTGTTTTTAAAGGGATCTCAAAGTGAACCTGACAAACCACATGCTATGACAACTGGTCAGTATGGGGGTTTTTTTTTTGTGTGCGTTTTGTTTTTTCAATGGGATTTTTAAGTTACACTCTCAACCCAAATGCTGCCAGTGCTTAAAATGGATCTCCCCAACTGATGGGAAGCCAAAGTTGGCTGTATGCCCCTGGGAATGAGTTGTAGCACAGTTTGTGCCAGATAACTGGACTGTGCACTGGTCTACAGTTTTGGCCTGGGTGGTGAAATAGGGATAGGCACAGTGCTGTGGGGTAATCTGATGCCAGCAATCGGTGCTGGCAAATACTACAGTTGGTGTCATATAGCAACACTTTTTCATCCCCAGGGCCAGAAACTGCCTTTCTGTTAGCAAATATTGTCCTTGCAGAAATGTCCTCAAGTAACCCTTTTCACTGACGCACTATTGGTGCCCAACTTATAACTTGTCCTGCAAATTTTTCCACCC